GTAGTGGGCCTGAGAATGTTCACGACCGGAACACCACCATTGGCTGTACGGAGCGAACAAGTGAACGTGCATATTTGGCCAATTAGTCATCCTGTATATATTTACGCGGACGCTCTGTATGTTTTGTCCTGGCAATACAGCCGTGTCCGCAATTCTCTGTCTTCTCCCTATCGCGTAGTCTAGCAGGCTCAGTGCAGGCGTAACCCAATAACTCGGCCACCGCGAGAGACACAACACTGGCAGACGGGTGTTCACAATGGCAGTTTCATTCGAACAGATGCAGTCTCTCGTTAGTCTCTTTAGTCTCTCCTTAATTGTTTGTCACCAATTTGTGTTATATGTGGGCTATCAGATAAATAGGAGATGAACCAGTGAAGTAAGGATACAGTGCTGCCAACAGACTTGACCTCCTTTACCAGGGATGCGTGAGGACCCGGTTGAAGGCTCTCTGGATATCCAAATGGACTGTGACAATAGAATATCCGGCACCATAGGCTGCAGTAACGGTCACAAAGAAGTGAAGTTAACAGCTTTTAACGGACCGTTGAGATGGAAACACGTACCGTCGGTCATCTATGGCGTTTGCAGCTAGGAGAAACCTGATTAACGGGCCTTTGACCGGACGTTCAAGGGTTCGCATTAAAAGAGGGGTACGATGGATCCCTCTGTAACTGGAAGTAGTTTTCCCGGATCCGGATTTAAAATAAGGGCGAACGACAGATTCTTTTACTAGGAGGGGGAGATTCCAAAGTTGCCTGAGTAATTAAAAAGATTTAAGTCAAGGTCTTTGACATCTTGACCGCCATGTCTGAGGGCACATGATGGTGCTCCGTCGCTTTCCGACATGGTAGTCTTTGAGGGACTAAAGAAGGGCTGATACATCAGTTAGGGAGATGATCGTGTTGGTAAAAGGCGGGCGGTTACTCTGTTATAGAGATGTGAAATCTGCGGCAGATTGTACTATTAAACTTTGCAGGAAGTGGTAATTAGCAGCATCCAAATTAAGCATTTAGGTGGTCGGATATATTGACAGGATCGTTGAAAACTACCGTCGGTCGAACGGGGACAAGTAACTAACTGACAGTTTGGGGTAAAGCACACACGAAATAGACGGCCGAGTAATTTACAGCTAGAAAAGTTTTTGAGAGAGGTGCTCTCCTCACGACATTCGAGAGATACCCGTAAGGACTCTCGGTCAGCTGAGAGCTTGCTGATGAGGAGTGTCAGTGAGATATCCCGAGATTTCTGATATTTTTTGCCGGCTCGTTGTATTTTATTGTCTAAGTTTTTCAGTAACTTATCATGCCGAGGGATACCAGGGTGAAAACTCGTAATGGGGGAAGCAAGGTAGAGAGAGACCAAGAGGGTCTGGTAGAAGGTATCACAAATACGTTGTGTCTGACGAAAGAAAGAAGTCGTTCAAGCCCTGGGCTGTCAGCGAGGACAAAACAGCCAGCAAAATATCCGGAGTTAAGAGGTGAAAAAAGCAGGACTTGGAGGAACCGTTTCGCTATAGCTGATTGCATTACAAGAAACGACTCAGCGATCGCTGCCTGAAAAGCACGGACCAACTGCGGTCCGCGGGCCAGATGGCCCACATTTGAAAATATCATGTCTGAGTTAAACTGGCCGCGAGTGGGGCTGCGTACAATCTGGGACCGACCCTCTACATTAAGTAGGGCATGTAGCGGGGTGTAACGAGTAGGGTCCAAATTGGGTGACCAGGAAATATCCGGTAGTTTGAGGTCACCCAGCACGAATTTAGGCAAATGAGGACGGGCATGTGCAGTGGAAATAATACGGGACATGTCAGTCATAGATGCAGTGATGGCGGTGGCAGATAAGTACAGCCTACTAGTACAGGTCATTTAGTCTGTTCTGTAGAGATCCTGATAGTTTCTGGGATGCCTTTTACGCTGTAATCATCAATGGGGGTTGCACGAAGTCTCGGTTCGGAATAGATGGCACAGCCTCCACCCTTGAGTCCCTCCTGTCAGAGCGGTGAATACTATAACCTGGGATTGAGACTGCCGCGTCTGGTGTTTCAAACGCGAGCAAGATTTTGGTTACAAAAGTCAAACTTGGTCGCTCAGCGGCGAAAATCGCACGAAGATTGTAGACTTTCGGCAGCTGTCAACGAGTGTGAACAGCCCCACCGATAGGTCCATTGGTGAGTGCACCAATGGACTTCGTTCACGGTGTGTTTCGGTACCGGGGGAAATGAGTAGGGGATGTAAGGTTACATAAAATAGAGTCGACTGGGCATGTGTTTGGAATAGATCGAACTGTATTCACTAGTGGGGGTAGAGGGGTGAGTAGTGGCTGTAGTGAGCCTGAATCCACGACAGAAGGCAGAGAATAAGGGTCATTATGGGGTGGGGAATATTTCTTGATGGCCGATGTGCAGTTGGAAGCGTTTGGTTGTTGGGAAGGGTTCTTGGACATGAAGTCATTCGTCTCGGCAGGAGGTGTGGAGAGTGACATGGTGTAGAAAGTGGCGGTGGTTGTGGGGGATGGGTCGCATTCGAAAATGGTCCACAACCGGGAGGGAAGTGAGCAAGATGGATGGTGGAAGCTCATAAGGGCCCGAGCTGGCCTCCGGTGTTTGAGGGTGCGAGGTTTCACCAAGCTCGCGGTACCTGTGTTTTGATGTATTTGTCATGTAATTGTATGGAGGCCGAAGCAGAGTTAAGTTATCTTGATAAGAACAAGAGGTGGACTCTCGAGGGTGTAGTTGAAGGTGTCTTAGGTATCGCGGACCTGACAATAAATATTTGAGACCGGCGGTGTATTTTGGCGGAAGTGTTACGTAGAGACATCAGATCAGGGGGTCTGTGATGAAAATGAGTGCCGTCTACTTCCGGTACTTCATATACACGCAATAAACACAAAAGTAGGGCGTGTTACGGTTCGATCACGCAGCGAGCAAACAATTAGATATGCGGACTGTGACAATATTCTATCCCCAGCTACGTTGCTTGATTCAGACTCCTAGCACGGCGAATAGTAAGAAGACGGAAAAACTCGGGACAAAACTTTAATGATCCAACAACACGCGGTCAACAGGCGATGTGAGGAAAATGACAATGCATATGTATATATTCATGGTTTGACCTAGAAAGATGCCCGAAGTTGGCTAGCACACAAAAATACAGAGTTTTTGGGGATATTGATATCCCCAACACCAGTAACATACTCGACGGAGGTCGACATGGATACGTTCCGGCTGGCGGCGGCGTCGGCCTGTCCGCCTGGGAAGAAGTGCTGGATCATATACTGAGCTACCGGTCACACTCTCCTCTTTCGAACCTGTCTGAGATTTCAGCTCGAAAGTACCGAGCAATATGTACAACGGTACGGAACTCGAACACACTTGAGTTTCCGGCGTGCTGTTAAGGCGGAGTTGGTGCTTTAAACTAGGTTCCAAAAGGAGCGTGGACAACCGTCGGAGGAGGGTCATTCCACGCAGCTACTACCCAAAATGAGAAAACATTTTGTATAATGAATGTGCGAGCTCTGAGTTTGAAAATTTTCTTACTGTGTCTCCGCCCGCCGTTTGCTGGGTCAACGGTAAAACAG